TATTTATTTATTTATTTATTTTTTTATTTTTCGAGACGGAGTTTCACTCTTGTTACCCAGGCTGGAGTGCAATGGCGCGATCTCGGCTCACCACAACCTCCGCCTCCTGGGTTCAAGCAATTCTCCTGCCTCAGCCTCCTGAGTAGCTGGGATTACAGGCACGTGCCACCATGCCCAGCTAATTTTTTGTATTTTTAGTAGAGATGGGGTTTCACCATTTTGACCAGGATGGTCTCGATCTCTCGACCTCGTGATCCACCCGCCTCGGCCTCCCAAAGTGCTGGGATTACAGGCTTGAGCCACCGCGCCCGGCCCTGTTTTAATTTTTTTTTTTGAGATGGAGTCTTGCTCTGTAGCCCAGGCTGGAGTGCAGTGGCGTGATCTTGGCTCACTGCAACCTCCGCCTCCCAGGTCCCCATTCAAGCAATTCTCCTGCCTCAGCCTCCCAAGTAGCTGGGATTACAGGCACAAGCCACCATGCCCAGCTAATTTTTGTATTTTTTAGTAGAGACGGGGTTTCACCATATTGGCCAGTCTGGTCTTGAACTCCTGACCTGGTGATCCTCCCGCCTCAGCCTCCCAAAGTACTGAAATTACAGGCCTGAGCAACTGCGCCCAGCCGCCCGGCTAAGTTTTTAACTTTTCTGTCCTTACTCGATTTCCCAGGCTGATCTGGAACTCCAGGGCTCGAGCAATCTTCCTGCCTCAGCCTCCCAAAGGGCTGGGATTACAGGTGTGAGCCACCGTGCCCAGCTACAGCAGGTTTGATAAGAGAAGGGGACGTGATCTCTCTCGAGGGCACCAGGGCTCCCAAGAGTCATAAATGGGGTGAGGAGAGGCAGAGAGGAGTCCAGAAGTCAAACTTCACTTGCTGGATCCACCCGCTGGGTCTGCCCTGGAAAAAAGACTCCATGGCAAATGCTGAATAAATATTATGACTGGGATCACTAGAGCCAAGTAAAGGCAAACAGCACCCCTAAAATCCAACACAGAGCAGTTTAAAAGGAAATCAGAATCATTCAGAAGTCAAGGTCAATATATAAGATATTCTAGCAGTCCCCAGACAGGGACACAGGGACACAGGTATTGTTATCAGGGTCTCTCCCTGGGTCCCATGGACCTTGGGGTCCTGGATTGTTCTCTGGGGTAGGACCGTCCTGAGCATTACAGGTTGCCAGGCAGTGCCCCTGGCCTCCACCCACCTCACACCAGGGCCATCCCCCTTTGTGGTGTTCCAGATGTTCCCAGATGTCACCCAGAATTCTGGGGGGTTGTACAAAAGCCCCGTAGGTGAGCTCCCCTGTTAAGGGATGCCATGGACCCCCCCCCCCAGGAGACTGCATCCCATGATCCTCTGCCCTGCTGAGGTCCCAGGAGGCTGCACATATTGAAATCTACACCCTAAGTGGGGAAGGGAGGGAGGAGGTGAGTCCCAAGAGCTGGGGTCTGCCTGGTTTATACCGTCTGCCCTGCCGGGAGTTTATTCTGGTGTCTGGTGTAAACAGAGCAGACTCTACTTTTGTTTTTTTGAGATGGAGTCTTAACGCTGTTGCCAGGCTGGAGTGCAGTGGCGCCATCTCGGCTCACTGCAACCTCTGCCTCTCGGGTTCAAGCAATTCTCCTGCCTCAGCCTCCCGAGTAGCTCGGACTACAAGCTCATGCTGCCACGCCCAGCTAATTTTTTGTATTTTAGTAGAGACAGGGTTTCATCATGCTGGCCAAGATGATCTTGATCTCCTGACCTCGTGATCTGCCCGCCTCAGCCTCCTAAAGTGCTGGGATTACAGGCGTGAGCCACCGCGCCTGGTCGATTTTTTTTTTTAAGTAATTAATGCAGTGTTTCTGGACCCTGTGGTCACTGCTGTCCACAGGGTGGGACTGCTGTCTGGGGTGGGGCCGTCCTGGGCACTGCATGGTGCTAACAGCACCTCTGGCCTCCACCCACTCCGTGCCAGGAATACCTCATACTCGTGACACCCACAGAGGTCCCAGACATCGCCCGGTGAGTGTCCCGAGCTTCCAGCAGGGTGGTCGCGGCTGTGGTGAGCTATGATCACACCACCGCACTCCAGCCTGCCCTGGGGGAGGCTAATTGCAGTAACAGAGTCAGTGTTGGATAAAAGAAAAATATAAATCAGGAAGTGAATTTTTTTTAGAGCAAGGAGGGCACCTGAATTACCCCTGTCAGCCAGCCCATGGCATAGTGTCCAGCGAACAGAAAGCTTGATTCACTCCCCTTTTGCGAAACTTCCAACAGCGACCTGCTGTTTAGCAGAAACCAGACTCCTTGCCACAACGCATAGGGCTACACAGACCTGGCCCGTCACCTCCCTGCCTTCCCCTCCTCCCTCTCTCACTCTCCCTCTCTCTGCTCCAGCCACAGGGGCCTGGTCTCTGTTCCTCCAACGCACTAGGGATGGACCTACCCCAGGGCCTTTTCACCGGCTGTTCCTCTGCCTGGGACTCCTTCCCCCAGACCTCCCCAGGGCCAGCTCCATCTCATCGTTCAGGACTGCACTTAACATGTCATCATTTATATATATATATTTATCTCAGCTGTGCAGAGTTTTTTGTTTTTTCCTATTTTTTCTTTCTTTTCTTTCTTTCTTTTTTTTTTTTGAGGCAGAGTCCCACTGTCAACCACGTTGAAGTGCAGTGGCCTGATCTTGGCTCACTGCAACCTCTGCTTCCCGGGTTCAAGTAATTGTTCTGCCTCAGGTGGCTGGGATTACAGGCTCATGTCACCAAGCCCGGCTAATTTTTTTTTTTTTTTTTTTGAGACAGAGTTTTGCTCTGTTGCTCAGGTTGGTGTCCAGTGGCACTGTCTTGGCTCACTGCAACCTCCACCTCCTGGGATCAAGCAATTCTCCTGCCTCAGCTGCCCACGCAGCTGAGACTACAGGCACGTGCCACCATGCCTGGCTAATTTTTTTGTATTTTTGGTAGAGACGGGGTTTCACCATGTTGGCCAAGATCATCGTCTTGATCTCCTGAGCTTGTGATCCACTTGCCTCAGTCTCCCAAAGTGCTGGGATGACAGGCGTGAGCTACCGCACCTGGCCTTTTTCTTTTTTTTTTTAAATGGCGTTTTGCTCTGTCACCCAGGCTGGAGTGCAGTGGCATTATCTTGGCTCACTGCATCCTCTGCCTCCCGGGTTCAAGCGGTTCTTCTGCCTCAGTCTCCTGAGTAGCAGGGACTACAGACATCCACCACCACGCCAGGCTAATTTTTGTATTTTCAGTAGAGATGGGGTTTCACCATGTTGGCCGGGCTGGTCTTGAACTCCTGACCTCAGGTGATACCCCACCTAGACCTCCCAAAGTGCTGGCAATACAGATGTGAGCCACCACACCCAGCCTAACATGGCATCCTCTAAAGGGGGACTTTGTCTGGGCACAGTGGCTCACACCTATAAACCCAGCACTTTGGGGGCCTGAGGCAGGTGCATCATTTGAGCCCAGGAGTTTGAGACCAGTCTGGGCAACATAGGGAGACCCTATTGTACAAAAAAACAAAATTAGCCAGGTGTGGTGGTGCGTGCCTGTAGTCCCAGCTACTTGGGAGGCTGAGGTAGGAGGATCACTTGAACCCAGGAGTTGGAGGCTGCAGTGAGCCATGATTGTGCCACTGTACTCCAGCCTGAGCAACAGAGCAAGATCCTGTCCCCACCACGGAAAGAAAAAAAAAAAAAAAAAAAAAAAAAATGCAGGACTCCTCTCTGTTGGTGGCGGGAGGAGGAGAGGTCAGAGACAGCCTCTCAGCCATCCAGGCTGATTCACAAATATCGAACAGTCACGAAAATGTCAACACAGTGACCTAGAGTCAGAGGGGAAGAGGGAGGGTACGAGAGGGGAGTTCCAGGTAGAAGGACCAGCAGGTGCAAAGGCCCTAAGCAGGGATCATTTTGGCTCCATAAATATTTGCCAACTCAATGAAAGATAGAAGATTCTAGAAATAATTGATTGCCCAGAATTGGCCATGGGGATCCGGAGGCAGCATCCAAGCTGGTCACGGAGCGGGCTGGAGGACAGAGGTTGGCAGGAGGAATGAGGTATGGGACGTGCCGGTAGGGAGACCGGCTTCAGTGAAGTCCTGGGCTGGTCTTGGTTAGTTTCTGTGCAGGGAGTAGACGGGACCCATGTAAGGGCCCTGGGCTACCCTAGAACCCATCTGGGAATTCTGAAGAGGAAGGGTCCCGTAACTGGCTGGGTGCGGTGTCTCACTTTGTAATCCCATCACTTTGGGAAGCCGAGGTGGGTGGATCACAAGGTCAGAAGTTCGAGACCACCCTGGCCAACCTGGTGAAACCCCATCTATACTAAACATAAAAAAAAATTAGCTAGATGTGATAGCGGGCACCTGTAATCCCAGCTACTAGGGAAGTTGAGGCAGGAGAATCCCTTGAACCCAGGAGCAAGAAGTTGCAGTGAGCTGAGATCCTGCCATTGCACTCCAGCCTGGGTCACAAGAGTGAAACACTGTAAAGAAAAGGTCCCATAACTGGCCGGGGGCGGTGGCTCACGTATGTAACCCCAGCACTTTGGAAAACCGAGGCGGGTGGATCACAAGCTCAGGAGTTCGAGACCAGCCTGGCCAACATGGTGAAAACCCATCTCTACTAAAAATACAAAGATTAGCTGGGCGTGGTGGTGGGTGCCTGTAATCCCAGCTACTGGGGAGGCTGAGGCAGGAGAATCCCTTGAATCCGGGAGGCGGAGGTTGCAGTGAGCCAAGATCTCGCCATTGCACTCCAGCTTGGGGAACAAGAGCAAAACTCTGTTAAAAAAAAAATGTTCCCCGTAAGTAGGGGAGAGGTCATGGTAGAGCTGAGGTACCCCAGACTTCGACCTTTGCCCACTCAGGGTTGGAAAACCACCAAATACCCAGATAACGGTCTTCCCTCCCCTGCCCCTGCCGGCCCCGGTGTCATTGGCCCTCAGCCCTGTCTCTCTGCTCTATCCACCAATCAGCACCCGGGGGAGGGCTGGGAGCTGCCTGGGACTGTTTGAGCATCTTTTGGGAGTGGTGACCGAGCCGCAGAAGGCTGCAGCCTTGCCCGGCCCCAGACAGCGCTGGCAGCAGGTGGATCTCCAGCTCGGAGCAGAGACTCCCCCGCAGGCATCTGCAGATGGAACTGGATGGACCCATGAATGAGAATTTAGCTGCAGGAAAGGTGAGTCCCGCCGGGTCCCCAGGGGAGCGGGAGTCTAGGCTGGGAAAAAGCCTCCTGAAGCTGCCAGACCTGGAAAGAAACCCGTCTCCACCCCCATTGAACGGATGGGAAGACAGATCCAGAGGACGGGTGCAGCCAGCAAAACTCTGCGCCTCTGCCCTGGGGCTGCCCTTGTCTTTCTTCCGGGGGCCCCCATTCCTCCCAGGAGTGGGCACCTGGGCAGGCGTGAAGGCCTCAGTGGCAAGTGGCATCCCTGGCCAGGACCTCTCTCCAGCACTTTAAATTTTCTTTTTATTATGATTAATTTGTGAGATGGAGTTTTCCTCTGCCACCCAGGCTGGAGTGCAGTGGCGCAATCTCGGCTCACCGCAATTTCCACCTCCCGGGTTCAAGCGATCCTCCCACCTCAGCCTCCCAAGTAGCTGGGATTACAGGCACGCACCACCATGCCCGGCTAATTTTTGTGTTTTTCGTAGAGACAGGGCTTCACCATGTTGGCCAGGCTGGTATCAAACTCCTGGCCTCAGGTGATCTGCCTGCCTTGGCCTCCCAAAGTGCTGGGATTGCAGATGTGAACCACTGCACCTGGGATATCTTTTCGTTTTTGGAAACAACTTGCTCTGTGGCCCAGGCTGGAGTGCAGTGGTGCAGTCAGAGCTCACTGCGGCCTCAACCTCCTGGGCTCAAGGGATCCTCCTACCTCAGCCTCCCCAGTAGCTTCGATGACAATTGTGTGACACTACAGCAGGCTAATTTTTAAAAATTATTTTCAGTAGAGATTGGATCTCTCTATGTTGTGAGGGCTGGTCTTGAACTCCTGGGCGCAAGTGATCCTCTTGCCCCAGCCTCCCAAAGTGTTGAGATTACAGGCGTGAGCCACCACACCCAGCCTCTCCAGCACTTTAAGGGAAATTGGCTCTCAGTGGAATTCTATCAGCCTCAAAGTCCAGATTTGCAAGGGGAGGCCCAGCGAGGGGCAGTGGATGACCCAACTTGGAGGCCGAGCGGCGACTGAAGTTGAGCTGGAAGGAGCTAGGGTTGTGTGCACAGGGGAGGTGGGGAGGAGACGGGCTGTGTGTGACCCTCGCACCTGTTCCTTGCACCCCAGATGGCTTCTTCTGCCTGCCCCATGGACCCCATCGATAGCTTTGAGCTCCTGGATCTCCTGTTTGACCGGCAGGATGGCGTCCTGAGACATGTGGAGCTGGGCGAGGGCTGGGGCTGCGTCAAAGACCAGGTAGGGAGCCCAGTGCAGATACCCCGGGCCACGGAGCTCCAGGCGGGCCACCTGAGGCCCCACGCAAGTCCTAGAACCGCCAGAGCCCAGCCAGAGCTCTGCTTGGCTCTACAAAGCACTGATGGCTCACGGTGCTTGATTTTAGCAAAACACATTATTTTTCTTGTGGGTGAGGAAATGGAGGTCTAGAGCAGTGTGGAAACTTATCCAAAGTCACACAGCAATTTGGAGTTAGGTTCAAACTCAAACTCGGGGCTTGCACCTCCCTGGCGGGGTTCAGTTCTCTCCTGCTCTCCCTCCCCTCCTTCCTCTCCTTCCTTTGTCTTTCTCCTTCCTTCCTTCCTCCCTCTCTCCCTCCCTCCTCTCTCTCTCTCTCTCTCTCTCTCTCTCTCTCTCTGTCTCTCAATCTCTCTTTCCTTCTCTATCTTTTTCTCCTTTTATTTTGAGATGGAGTTTCACTCTTGTTGCCCAGGCTGGAGTCCAGTGGCACTACCTCAGCTCAGCACAACCTCTGCCTCCCAGGTTCAAGCAATTCCGGTGCCTCAGCCTCCAGAGTAGCTGGAATTATGGGCATGTGTCACCGCGCCTGGCTAATTTTGTATTTTCAGTAGAGACAGGGTTTCTCCATGTTGGCCAGGATGGTCTCAAACTCCTGACCTCAGGTGATCTGCCTGCCCGGGCCTCCCAAAGTGCTGGAATTACAGATGTGAGCCGCTGCGCCCGGCCTCTCTTCTTTCTTCCCTTTCTCTTCCTTCCTTCCTTCCTTCCTTCCTTTCTTTCTCTTTCCTTCTCTTTCTTTCTTTCTTTCTTTTCTTTCTGTCTTTCTCTTTTTCTTTCTTTCTTTTTCTTTCTTTCTTCCTCCTTCCCCTTCCGTTCACATCCCATCTCATCACTTCCTTTCCCTTCTTCCCTTCCCTTCTTCCCTGCCTTTTTCTTTTTCTCTCGCTTGTCTTCCTTCATTCTTTTCTTTATTTCTGAGACGTTCTTACTGTGTTATCCAGGCTGGAGGGCAGCAGTGTGATCATGGCTCACTACAATCTTGACCTCCTGGGCTCAAGCAATCCTCCTCCTTGGCCTCTGAAAGTGCTGGGATTAAAGGCGTGAGCCACTGGGTCTGCCCTGGAGGCGTCTTCTCTTTCTTTCCTTCCTTCACTCTCTTTCCCTCCCTCCCTCCTTCTTCCCTCCCTTCCCCTTTCCTTCCCTTTCCTCCTCTGTCACCCAGAACGGAGAACAGCAGCGTGATCCCGGCTCACTGCCACATCCACCCCTCCGCCTGGGTTCGAGCGATTCTCCTGCCTCAGCCTCCCAAGTAGCGGGGATTGCAGGCACTCGCCACCACACCCAGCTAATTTTTGGATTTTTAGTAGAGATGGGGTTTCAGTATGTTGGCCAGGCTTGTCTCGAACTCCTGACCTCAAGTGATCCACCCGCCTTGGCTTCCCAAAGTGTTGGAATTACGGGCATGAGCCACCGCACCAGGTGCTGGCTGGGTTTTGTATGCTATGTTACTGTGTTTGAGCCTCAACAGCATGGGAGGAAGAAGCATTACTCCATCTTAAAGAGAGAACACCTGGCCGGGTGCGGCGGCTCATGCCTGTAATCCCAGCACTTTGGGAGGCTGAGGCAGGCAGATCACAAGGTCGGGAGATCGAGACCATCCTGGCCAACATATTGAAACTCCGTCTTTACTAAAAACACAAAGATTAGCTGGGCACAGTGGCAGGTGCCTGTAATCCCAGCTACTTGGGAGGCTGAGGCAGGAGAATCGCTTGAACCCAGGAGGCGGAGGTTGCGGTGAGCCAAGATCACGCCACTGCACTCCAGCCTGGCGACAGAGGGAGACTGTCTCCAAAAAAGAAAAGAAAAGACATGACACCTAAGGCCCAAAGAGAGTGTCTGGTTTGCCTGGGGCCACACAGCAATCTAGAAAGAATGTACGCCCCCTAATTCCTACCCCTCCCTGTCCACCCCAGCAGGTCCTGCCAAACCCCGACCCTGATGACTTCCTCAGCTCCATCCTGGGCTCTGGAGACTCACTGCCCAGCTCCCCACTCTGGTCCCCTGAAGGCAGCGATAGTGGCATCTCTGAAGACCTCCCATCTGACCCCCCAGACACCCCTCCACGCATCGGACCAGCCGCCTCCCCAGCCGGCGGCCATCCTGCCCAGCCTGGCAAGGGGCCCTGCCTCTCATATCATCCTGGCACCTCCTGCCCCACCACACCCCCGGGGCCAGTGGTCCAAGTGCCTGAAGCCTCTGTGACCATAGACCTGGGTGAGTTCTGCTGTATCTCTGCCTACCACCCTCACCTCGTTCCAGAGCCTTCCTCTAAGTGAGAAAATGGAGGCTCAGAGAGGGTTGACATCTTGCCCGAAGTCACACAGCAATTTGGAGTTGGGCCCAAACTCAAACTCAGGACACGTGTCTCACTTGGTTTTCATGCTCTCAGGGTGAGGCTATTGGGAGCCCATTTTCCAGATCGTGAAACTGAGTCCCATCAGGTCGAGCCATGAGCTAAAACCACAGAGCTGAGATGTAACCTTGGCAGGCAGCTCAGGCACCAGGCATGGTGCTCACAAGCACAGCCTGAAGGCAGAGTCTCACCTTCTGTGTGTCTATACCCTGTGCCTGGTTCCTCGTGGATGTTTTTTTCTTTTTTCTTTCTGTTCTGTCTGTTTGTTTGTTTTGAGATGGGGGTCTCGCTCTGTTGCCCAGGCTGGAGTGCAGTGGTGGAACCTCGACTCACTGCAATCTCCACCTCCCGGGTTCGAACGATCCTCCTTCCTCAGCCTCCCAAGTAGCTGGGACTGCAGGTGTGTGGACCCACCCAGCTAATATTTTATATTTTTTAGTAGAGACGGGGTTTCACCACATTGGCCAGGCTGGTCTCCAACTTCTGACCTCAGGTGATCCACCCACCTCAGCCTCCCAAAGTGCTGGGATTACAGGCGTGAGCCACTGCACCCGGCTTTTTCTCTTTTTCTTTTTTGATACGAAGTCTCCCTCTGTCACCCAGGCTGGAGTGCAGTGGTGCGATCTCGGCTCACTGCAACCTCCACCTCAGGGTCAAGGATTCTCCTGCCTCAGTGTAGCTGCGATTACAGGCACCCGCCACCACACCTGTCGATTTTTTTTGTATTTTTAGTAGAGATGGGGTTTCACCATGTTGGCCAGGCTGGTCTCAAATTCATGACCTCAGGCGATCTGCCCACCGAAGCTTCTCAGAGTGCTGGGGTTACAGGTGTGAGCCATGGCACTTGGCGTGTAGATGCTAAATAAAAGTACATGAGGTTACTGGGTCCCAGGATCCAGGTGCTCCTCCTAGATATGGGGACAGCAGATCTGTAAAGATTTACTCCGTACATGAAGCAGTCCTAGCAGGCCAGGCAGTGCTCTGGCTGGAGATACCTGAGCTCTGGGTGTCCTTTGTCCCTTAAGCCTTGCTGTGAGCTCCTCTTGATCCCATTGGAGAGTTGAAAAAACTGAGGCTCTGACTGGGCATGGAGACTCACACTTGTAATCCCAGCACTTTGGGAGACTGAGGCGGGCAGATCACCTGAGGTTAAGAGTTCGAGACCAGCCTGGCCAACATGGTGAAACCCTGTCTTTATTAAAACTACAAGAATTAGCCGGACTCACTGGAGGGGGCCTGTAGGCCCAGCTACTTGGGAGGGTGAGGCAGGAGAATCGCTTGAACATAGGAAGCAGAGGTTGCAGTGAGCCGAGATCATGCCACTGCACTCCAGCCTGGGTGACAGAGCCAGACTCTGTCTCAAAAAAAAAAAAAAAAAAAAGAAAAAGTAAAAGAAAGAAAGAAAAGAAAAAAATATAGCACTGAAATCTCCTTTGACATGATCAATAAAAATAAAACAAAAGAGACCAGGCGTGGTGGCTCACGCCTGTAATCCAAGCACTTTGGAGGCCAAGGCGGGCAGATCACCTGAGGTCGGGAGTTCAAGAACAGCCTGACCAGCATGGTGAAACCCTGTCTTAAAAAAAGAAAAAGAAACAGAAAAAAACAACAAACAATCCTGAGGCTCAGAGACGTGAAGTCACTTCCTCAAGATCGCTCAGCCCTGCCCAGCTCGGATTGGTACCAAGGGTTAGTTGACCTGAAGTTTGTGTGCGTGGACAGCTTGCCTACTGCATGCCGGGTACCAGGAGGGGCAGCCAGAGGTGAATCAGACCCTGTCCCTGCCCCTCTGGTGAGATAAGGTCTGGCTGGCTGTAGTCTAGCCTGCAGTTCTGTGTGATAACAGCCACTCCCTTTTGAATCAGCTGGTGTCCCCTGACCATGTCCTGTGTCTGCCTTCCTCAGCTTTGTAGGACAGACAGAACCAAGCCCTGCTGAATTTGCGTTCTTTTTTTTTTTTGAGGCAGTCTTGCTCTGTCGCCAGGCTGGAATGTAGTGGCACAGTCTTGGCTCACTGCAACCTCCGCATCTGGGGCTCAAGAGATTCTCCTGCCTCAGCCTCCCGAGTAGGTACTACAGGTGCGTGCCACCACACCCAGCTAATTTTTGTCATTTTAGTGGAGATATGGTTTCACCATGTTGGCCCGGATGGTCTCAATCTTCTGACCTCATGATCTGCCCACCTCGGCCTCCCAAAATGCTGGGATTACAGTGTCAGCCACCAAGCATTGCTTTTAAAAAAAATTTTTGAGATGAAGTCTTGCTCTGTCACCCAGGCTGGACCCTCACTGTATCCTCTAGCTCCCGGGTTCAGGTGATTCTTTTGCCTCAACTTCCCGAGTAGCTGGGATTAGATGCCCGCCACCACGCCTGGCTAATTTTTGTATTTTTAATAGAGACGGGGTTTCCCCATGTTGGCCAGACTGGTCTTGAACTCCTGACCTCAGATGATCCACCTGCCTTGGCCTCCCAAAGTGCTGAGATTACAGGCATGAGCCACCTTGCCTGGCTGGGTTCCCATCTTATAGCAGAGGGGAGACTGAGTCACTAGTGAGGGCTGCCCCCTTCAGCCTAGGCCTTGGGAACTCCAAGCTTTGGCAAAAATTCTACGAACATTGGGATTCATCACGGGAGACTCAGGCCAGATGCAGTGGCTCACGGCTGTAATCCCCGACCTTTGGGAGACTTAGGCAGGTGGATCATGAGGTCAAGAGATGGAGACCATCCCGGCCAACATGGTGAAACTCCGTCTTTACTAAATAAAATACAAAAATTATCTGGGCATGGTGGCGCGCCCCTCTAATCCCAGCTACTTGGGAGGCTGAGGCAGGAGAATCGCTTGAACCTGGGAGGCAGAGGTTGCAGTGAGCCGAGATCACTCCACTGCACTCCAGCCTGGCACCTGGTGACAAAGTGAGAATCTCTCTCTTAAAAAAAAAAAAAAAAAAAAAAAAATCATGGGAGACTTGGTGGAGAATGGGGTTGGAGGCTGGGAGCTCAGGATTCCCCCCATCTGACACTCTCCCTGTCTCCATCCCCACCTGCCCTGGTCAGAAATGTGGAGCCCTGGAGGAAGGATCTATGCTGAGAAGCAGGCTGAACCGGTGGGCCTGTCACCACGATGCAATCTCACGGTGAAAGATCTGCTGCTTTCGGGCAGCAGCGGGGACCTGGTGAGCATCCCCACACCCTCCCACGGTGTGTTGCAGCTGGGAGGGCTGCTCGGGTTTGGGGGAGCCAAAACATCCCCCATTTCAGAGACTGGAAAAACAAGTCACAGAAAGGTGTGGAATTTCCCCACAGTTAGAGACCGTTCCAGTCCTGGGTTCACTGTCGCCTGGGCTCGGTGTCTCCCTCTGTAATATGCGGTAGTAACAACGGCCACTTTTTTAAAAAAAATGGCTGGGTTCGGAGGCTCATGCCTGTCATCCCAGCAGTTTCGGAGGCCACAGCGGGCAGATCGCTTGAGCTCAGGAGTTTGAGACCAGCCTGGGCGACACGGTGAAACCCTATCTATGCAAAAAATATAAAAATTAGCTTGGTGTGGTGACATATGCCTGTGGTTCTGGCTACTTGGAAGGCTGAGGTGGGAGGATCACTTGAACCCAGGAGGTTGAGGCTGCAGTGAGCTGAGATTGCACCACTGCACTCCAGCCTGGACAACAGAGCAAGAAGCCTGCCTCAACCACAAAAACGGGAACAGCGCTAAAACTGGCGAGGTACCTGCTACACACCAGGCATGCTTCTAAATGCTTTGTTTATCACCTTAAACGGAATTTTCCTTTTTTTTTTTTTTTTTTTTGAGACAGGATCTTACTCTGTGGACCAGGCTGGAGGGCAGTGTTACAATCCTAGTTCAGTGCAGCCTTGAACTCCTGGCCTCAAGTGATACTCCTGCCTCAGACTCCCAAGTAGCCGGGACTATAGGTGTGCACCACCAGACCCAGCTAATTTTTCTTGAGACAGACTTTCTCTCTTGCCACCCAGGCTGGAGTGCAGTGGGACCATCTCAGCTCACTGCAACCTCTGCCTCCCGGGTTCAAGCGATTTTCGTGCCTCAGCCCCTGAATACCTGGGACTACAGGTGTCCACCACCATGCCTGACTAATTTTTGTATTTTCAGTAGAGACGGGGTTTCGCCATGTTGGTCAGGCTGGCCTCAAACTCCTGACATCAAGTGATCCACCTGCCTTGGCCTCCCAAAGTGCTGGGATTACAGGCGTGAGCCACCGCGCCCAGCCTTATTTTATTTTATTTAAAGTCAAGGTTTCTGTCTGTCACCACCACTGCCTCAGACTCCTGGGCTCAAGTGATCCTCCTGCCTCAACCTCCCATTTTTTTTGTATAGCTGACATACAGAACAAATATACAAAAAACCGATACATTTAAAAATGCCAGTTAACAGAAGTTCAAGACCAGCCTGGGCAAAATAACAAGACCTTGTCTGTTATTAGCTGTTGTATGTGGTGCACACCTGTAGTCCCAGCTACTGGGAAGGCAGAGGCAGGAGTGTGATCACTTGAGCCCAGGAGGTTGAGGCTGCAGTGAGCTGTAATCACATGACTGGACTCCAGCCTGGGTGACACAGTGAGACCCTGCATCTAAAAAGAAAAAAGGCGGGCGTGGTGGCTCATGCCTGTAATCCTAGCACTTTGGGAGTGGGCAGATTGCTTGAGCCCAGGAGTTTCAGACCAGCCTGAGCAACATAGTGAAACTCCATTTCTACAAAAAAGATACAAAAATTAGCCAAGCATGGTGGCGTGCCCTGTAGCCCCAGCTACTTGGGAGGCTATATATATATATATATATATATATATGTATATATATATATATACATATATATATATGTATATATGTCTGTGTGTGTGTGTGTGTGTGTGTGTGTGTGTGTGTGTATGGAGAGAGAGAGAGAGCGAGAGAGAGAGAGAGACAGAGTCCTGCTCTGTCTCCCAGGCTGGAAGGCAATGGTATGATCTGGGCTCACTGCAACCTCCACTTCCCAGCTTCAAACAATTCTCCTGCTGCAGCCACCCGAATAGCTGGGATTATGGGTGCCCACCACCACGCCTGGCTAATTTTTGTATTTTTAGTAGAGATGAGGTTTCATTATGTTTCCCAGGCCGGTCACAAACTCCTGAGTTCAAGTGATCCACGTGCCTCAGCCTCCCAAAGTGCTGTGATAACACGCCCGGCCTGGGATGATTGTGTTCTTGACCTAATGATTCTTTCATTTCCCAAAGGCCCTGAACCTGCCGTCATTCCTGTGTTTTTTTCCCTAGCAACAGCATCAACTGGGAGCCCCCCACCTGCTGCGACCTGTGGCCGGGCACTGTCAGGAGCTGGTGCTGACCGAGGATGAGAAGAAGCTGCTGGTGAAAGAAGGCATCACCCTGCCCATCCAGCTGCCGCTCACGAAGGTGAGTCTCAGGGGACTTCCAGCCCCAGGTCCGTCCCCCCTTCATGCCCTTACCTGCCTGTGTGTCCCACCTTCATTTATTTATTTGTTTAGAGACAGAGTCTTTTTGTTTTCTTTTTTTTTTTTTTTTTTTTGAGACGGAGTTTCGCTCTTGTTACCCAGGCTGGAGTGCAATGGCGCTATCTCGGCTCACCGCAACCTCCGCCTCCTGGGTTCAGGCAATTCTCCTGCCTCAGCCTCCTGAGTAGCTGGGATTACAGGCACGCACCACCATGCCCAGCTAATTTTTTGTATTTTTAGTAGAGACGGGGTTTCACCATGTTGACCAGAATGGTCTCGATCTCTTGACCTCGTGATCCACCCGCCTCGGCCTCCCAAAGTGCTGGGATTACAGGCTTGATTGTTTTCTTTTTTTTAGACAAAGTCTCACTCTGTTGCCCAGGCTGGAATGCAGTGGCGCAATCTTGGCTCACTGCCATCTCTGCCTCCTGGCTTCAAGCGATTCTCCTGCCTCAGCCTCCTGAGTAGCTGGGGTTACAGGTGCCCACTACCACGCCCAGCTGATTTCTGTTTTATTTTTAGTAGAGATGGGGTTTCATCATCTTGGCCAGGCTGGTCTTTAACTCCTGACCTCATGATCCACCTGCCTCGGTCTCCCAAAGTGCTGGGATTCCCTCGTGATCCACCTGCCTTAGCCTCCCAAACTGCTAGGATTACAGTCTTAGTCTGTCACCCAGGCTGGGGTGCAGTGGCCTGACCTCAACTCACTGCAACCTCTGCCACCTGGGTTCAAGCTGTTGGAAATAGATGTTGGAAACAGATGCTTGGTGCCACAAAGAAAAATTAGCACTGAGACAAAGGGTCTTTCAGCAATGCAATTTTTACTTCCTGGACTGCAGGAAGGATACACTCACTAGCCATCTTGCCATGAGAATACCCTTCTTCTGCCTCAGCTTCCCGCGAACCTGGGACTACAGTCACCCGCCACCACGCCCAGCAAATTTTTGTATTTATAATAGAGACAGGGATTTCACCATATTGGTCAGGCCGGTCTCGAACTCCTGACCTCAGGTGATCCACCTGTCCGCCTCCAAAATTCCTAGGATTACAGCTGTGAGCCTCTGCGCTGAACCTGACATTCCCATTTGAAGGTATTTATTGGATGGGCAGGTGGCTCACACCTGTAATCCCAGGACTTTGGGAGGCTGAGGCAGGCAGATCACCTGAGGTCAGGAGTTTGAGACCAGCCCGGACAAGATAGTAAAACCCCGTCTCTACGAAAAGAAACAAGCAGAAAAGACATTAGTCTTCAAACACCTGCTGTCTTCAGGGAAAGGTGCTGTTCCCAGAGATGACCACAAGGCGGCGGCAGTGGTACCCGTTCCCACATTCCGGGGGGTGGTTGCTTATTTCACACTGTTAGTAACTGGGAAAAGACCCTCAGAACCCGGGCGCCTCCAGGAGACTCTGCAAGTGTTCGGGGGAAAAGGTAGCTTCAAGTCATTAGAAATCTGCCTCTGCGTCCTTGGCTCAGGGATGTCTCATGTGGAAAGCGGATGGGGTGAAGATTTAGGCTCAAGGTTAGGTAAAGTTGTGGGATCAGGACAGTAGGGACAGTCCCACTTTACCCAAAGTGAAGAGTTTATTTTAATATTTATTTATTTATTTTTATTTCTGAGGGAGAGTCTCACTCTGTCGCCAGGCTGGAGGGCAGTGGCATGATCTTGGTTCACTGCAACTACCGCTTTCCCGGTTCAGGTGATCCTCCTGCCTCAGCTTCCCAAGTTAGTCGGATTACAGGCACCTACCACCATGCCTGGCTAATTTTTGTATTTTTAGTAGAGCTGGGGTCTCACCACCTTGACCAGGCTGGTCTGGAACTCCTGACGTCAGGTGATCCGCCCGCCTTGGTCTCCCGAAATGCTGGGATTACAGTTGTGAGCCATTGCGCTCAGCCTGACATTCCCATTTGAAGACACTTATTGGTTGGGCACAGTGGCTCACACCTGCAATCCCAGCGTTTTGGGAGGCTGAGGCAGGCAGACCGCCCGAGGTCGGGAGTTGGAGACCAGCCTGGCCAATATGGTAAAACTCGGTCTCTACAAAAACAAACGCACACACAAGACAGTCTTGAAACACCTGCTGTCTTCAGGGAAAGATACTGTTTCCAGAGATGACCACAAGGCGGCGGCAGTGGTACCCGTTCCCACAGTCCGGGGGCTGGTTGCTTATTTTACACTATTGGGAGCTGGGAAAAGACCCTCAGAACCCGGGCGCCTCCCAGAGACTCTGCAAGCCTTTGGGAAAGGGTAGCTTCAAGTCATTAGGAATCTGCCTCTGCGTCCTTAGCTCAGGGATGTCTCATATGGAAAGCGAGTGGGGTGAAGTTGTTGGCTGAAGGTTAGGTAAAGTCGTGGTGTTAGGACAGTAGTGACAGTCCCACTGTCCCCAAACTGAAGAGTTTATTTAAATATTTATATATTTATTTTTGAGGCAAAGTCTCACTCTGTCACCAGGCTGGAGGGCAGTGGCGTCATCTTGGTTCACTGCAACCTCCGCCTCCCAGGTTCAAGTGATCCTCCGGCCTCAGCTTTCTGAGTAGCTGGGATTATAGGCACCTACCACCATACCTGGCTAATTTTTGTATTTTTAGTAGAGCTGGGGTCTCACCACGTTGAACAGGCTGGTCTCGAACTCCTGATCTCCCCGGCTCGGTCTCCCAAAGTGCAGGAATTACAGACATAAGCCACCTTGCGTGGCCTATTTTTTATTTTTTAAGACAGAGTCTCTAGGCCGGGCGCGGTGGCTCAAGCCTGTAATCCCAGCACTTTGGGAGGCCGAGGCGGGTGGATCACGAGGTCAAGAGATCGAGACCATCCTGGTCAACATGGTGAAACCCCGTCTCTACTAAAAATACTAAAAATTAGCTGGGCATGGTGGAGCGTGCCTGTAATCCCAGCTACTCAGGAGGCTGAGGCAGGAGAATTGCCTGAACGCAGGAGGCGGAGGTTGCAGTGAGCCGAGATCGCGCCATTGCACTCCAGCCTGGGTAACAAGAGCGAAACTCCGTCTCAAAAAAAAAAAAAAAAAAAAAAAGACAGAGTCTCCCTGTGTCACCCAGGCTGGAATGCACTCGCTCAATCCTGGCTCACTGCAGCCTCCACCTCAGGTTCAAGCGATTCTTCTGCCTCAGCCTCCCAAGTAACTGAGATTCCGGGCTTACACCACCACACCTAGCTGATTTTTTGTAGTTTTGGTAGGGACAGGGTTTCATCTTGTTGTCCAGGCCGGTCTTGAACTCCTGACCTCAGGTAATCCGCCTCCCTCGGCCTCCGAAAGTGCTGGGATTACAGCTGTGAGCCACTGCGCCCAGCCTGACATTCCCATTTGAAGACATACATTGATTGGGCGAGGTGGCTCACAGCTTTAATCCCAGCACTTTTGGAGGCTGAGGCAGGCAGATCACCTGAGGTCGGGAGTCCGAGACCAGCCTGGCCAATATGGTAAAACCCAGTCTGTACAAAAACAAACACAAAAAATAACATTAGTCTTGAAACACCTGCTGTCTTCTGGGAAAGGTGCTGTTCCCAGATATGACCACAAGGCGGCGGCAGTGGTACCCGTTCCCACAGTCCCGGGGGCTGGTTGCTTATTTTACACTATCGGGAGCTGGGGAAAGACCCTCAGAACCCAGGTGCCTCCCAGAAACTCTGCAAGCGTTTGGGGAAAGAGTAGCTTCAAGTCATGAGGAATCTGCCTTTGTATCCTTGGGTCGGGGATGTCTCATATGGAAAGCAGACTGGGTGAAGTTGTTTGCTGAAGGCTAAGTAAAGTTGCGTGATAAGGACGGTAGGGACAGTCCCCAAAGTGAGGCGTTTATTTTAATGTTTATTTATTTATTTATGAGACACAGTCTCACTCTGTCGCCAGGCTGTACTGCAGTGGCTCAATCTTGGCTCACTACAGCCTCCCAGGTTCAATCAATTCTCCTGCCTCAGCCTCCCACGTAACTGAGATTACTGGCTCAAAGCACCACAGCTGACTGATTTTTTGTGGTTTTGGTAGAGACAGGGTTTCGCCGTGGGTCTCGTACTCTTAACCTCAGGTGATCCGCCTCCCTCCGCCTCCCTAAGTGCTGGGATTACAGGTGTGAGCCACTACACCCAGCCTGACATTTTCATTTGAATCATTTATTGGGTGGGCGAAGTGGCTCACACCTGTAATCCCAGCACTTTGGGAGGCTGGGGCAGGCTGATCGCCTGAGGTCAGGAGTTTGAGACCAGCCCGTCTCTACAAAATGCAACAAAAAAGACATTGGTCTTGAAACACCTGCTGTCTTCAGGGAAAGGCGCTGTTTGCAGAGATGACCACAAGGCGGCGGCAGTGGTACCCGTTCCCACAGTCCCGTGGGCGGTTGCTTATTTTACACTATTTGGAACTGGGTTAAGACCCTCAGAACCCAGGCGCCTCCCAGATACTCTGCTAGCATTTGGGGAAAGAGTAGCTTTCAGTGATTAGGAATCTGCCTCTGTGTCCTTGGCTCAGGGATGTCTCATATGGAAAGCGGATGGGGTGATGTTGTTGGCTGAAGGTTAGATAATGTTGTGGCGTCAGGACAGTAGGGATAGTTCCACTGTCCCCAAAGTGAACAGTTTATTTTAATATTTATTTATTTATGAGAGTCTCACTCCGTCGCCAGGCTGGAATGCTGTGGCTTGATCTTTGTTTACTGCAACCTCTGCCTTCCCGGTTCAAGTGATCCTCCTGCCTCAGCTTCCCAAGTATCTGGGATTACAGGCACCTACCACCACCATAGCTAATTTTTGTATTTTTAGTAGAGCTGGGGTTTCACCAGGTTGGCTAGGCTGGTCTAGAACCCCTGACGTCAGGTGTTCTGCCCGCCTCGGCCTCTCAAAGTGCTGGGATTGTATGTGTGAGCCATTGCACCCAGGCTGACACTCCCATTTGAAGTTATTTATTGGTTGGGCGAATTGGCTCACA